ACAACTTCTGAAGGCAAAGCTGTTCCACTGATTAATTGTTCTGTCAGGAAATTTCTTCTTAGTTCTAGGTTGCTTCTCCCTTTGATTAGTTTCCATCCATTGTTTCTTATCTTGCCTTTGGGTGCTTTGGAAAATAAGCTGATTTCATTTTCTTTGTGGCAGCCCCTCAATTACTGGAATACTGCTATCATGTCACCCTTAGAATAATTTCCCTTAGAAGGGAAAATGCCAGTTCATTCGGTCATGGAAAACCCCGATTTAGGGAAATTTCAGAATCTATTTCTTTTTGCTTAATCTTTTCTTAAAGATTGGAAGTAGAGCAGCACTTAAAAGTGACCTTTTGTAAGTTAAGAGAGTAATAACTATTTTTTGTGAGCATGTAAATATGCGGGTATTTAGCCTTCTTGGATATTCTTGTGCCTTAAGATAACAAAGACAACTGTTGTGAAATTTGTTAAGGTAGATGTTGAAGTTGTGTAAGGTTTAGAAAAGCCAAGAAGCTGTTGCATATATCATAACATTCCTTCCCTCTACCCAATTGCCTACCATGTGAGACAAGTTGTGTAAGTTTCAAACCTGAACTGGATCTTGTATTGCTATAGTAAGCAACTCTTCTTGATTCAGTTTAGAATATTAACCGCTTCCATTCACCCTGTGAGCGTGACAGCCAGCATTCCCTAAAGTGTGAATCCAAAAACTGGCTGAAATGAAGATCACCATGAATAGATATGCAACCTTCCTTCAAACTTACAAAACCAATTGAACAATGACTTGGTAACCTTGGGAAATACAGCTATCCAGAGTCTTGCTATTTTCCCCCCAAAGGTTTTTCTGCATATCTTTAATTATCACTGCACCTCATACAACGAAATCAAACACCATCTTCAGTGCACATCATGACCATGACCATGAAAATAAACACACACATCCTTCACCCTTCACACATTGAACCAGACACCACACCAACACCACACCAACACCACACCAACACTGCACTATACAGTAGAATTCAAAAGAGCTACTGCCCTGGGATGGAAGCTGTTTTTCAGCCTATTTGTCCTTGTTTTTATTATTCTGTGCCGTCTGCCAGATGGTAATAGTTCAAAAAAAGGGATCCCAGGATGAGATGGATCTTTGAGAATGTTTTGAACTTTCTTAAGGCAGCGGGAGCTATAAAGCTCTTCCAAAGAGGGGAGAAGGCAACCACTGATCTTCTGGGCAATGACATTAACCCTCTGGAGTGCTTTCCTATCTGCCCCTGTGCAATTGGCAAGCCATACAGCTGTGCAGTAAGTTAAAATACTCTCTATGATGCAGCGGTAGAAGGTCACCCGTAGTTTTTCATTCAGCTGTTGTCTACCTGTCTGTCCATAGATATGCGGTGCTGTCAAGCTAACCGTTAATGTGCAAGTTTCCTGAGTTGCTGAATTACCCAACTTCCTTTGAAATTCTTAAAAAATGTCAGTTGAAAATGTGTTGCTTTCATGATGAAATGCTTGTTCTCCCAACAGCTTGTACAACGAAGAGAGAAATTTGCTCCGCATTCAAGCAAAAGAAAGGCGAAATCAGGAAGCTCATCAGGAACAAGAAGCGTTCCCTGCAGATATTCCCCTTTTTGGAGCGCCTTACAAGGTATCCATAGCATATCTCCATTATATCATAGAGCGAGCTGTTAGTTTTTACATGTTGCCTCTTTCAAGAGGATTTGAAAGTTAGATTCGGTCTATCTTTCATGCTAAGCCAGTGTGGTTTTTGTTTTGTTTTATTTTGAAATACACAGTATGGGTAGCTTAAGCTTTTACAAAACTGAAGACATTCATCCTAGTAAACCTCCCATCTTGACTATTGCAACGTGCTCCACATGGGCCTGCCATTGAAAAGCATCCGGAAGTCTCAGTTTGTTCAAAATGCAGCAGCTCATATGGTTTTTTGCAGATCCAGGTGTGCACATACATAATCTCTTTTGCGGGTTGCCGATTTGCTTCCGGGTGCAGTTCAAAGTGCTGGTTATCACCTTTATAGCTCTACACAGCCAGGTTTATCTGAAGGACCATCTCTTCCCCTGGTTACATCCACCCGACCCACTAGACCAGAAGGGCAGGGAATGTTGCTGGTCCCCTTTCCTAAAGAGGTACATCTGGCGGAACCCAGAAGAAGGGCCTTCTCCATGGTGGCTCCCTCTCTTTGGAATATCAACCCTGTGGAAATTAGACTGTCCTCACTTTGATACGCTTTCTCAAGGCCTCGAAGATCTGGTTTTGCCAACGGGCCTGAGGAACCCAGAGTGGGATGGAACTCATCAAATAGCTTGTTTGATTGCCTGTTGTCGCCGGAGGTGGGAGTGTTATTGTTTTCACTCTTTTTATATTGAGTTTGTTTTTTGTTTTTGTAAGCTGCCCACAGTATCTGAAAGTAAATGGGCAGCCATATAAATTATCTAAATACTGTAAATAAATAAATGCCACCTTTTCAGACCTTAGTATCGCTGCCTACCCGTGATTGTGGTAGCCATTAAGTTCAGTAACATTTATATCTATTTTATTCTTGAACCATTCATTCATTGGCCCAAAGTCCAAACAATACCTCACCTCTAGCCTTTCCTAGTTAAGAAGATAGTTTACTCCCTGCAATTGCAGTTCAATGTAGACCAATGATTTATCAAGTTAACTTAAAATTAGCCTTTCCTTCCACCACCACCCCACCCCCCATTGTGGTCAGTGACTACAAAAGATATGCAATACTTTTTCCAAATGCATGGAGTATGCACTTTTTTGTTGTTGCCACATAGGTATTAAGGTACCTATATTTAGACTTTATTTAATGTGTGGTGCCATTTCTCTTCCATCTATTTTTGGGTTATTGCCTCAAAAAATAGAAATAACTGTCTGGGACTCTAATACTCTCCTCTCCCTTAACAGCAACATGTTAAAAAGGCTCAGCATACCCTCAAAGGACTGCTGGGGGAAGTGGAGTAATTTTAGTTGCATGACATTGCACCTTTGCACAAAGAACAATGCTGCAAGACATAGTTTGCAAGTTCTTAGAAAACCTGAACTATAGTTGCAAATTGATCAGTGAGCTCTTAGGCTGATGGGCAAGCAGCTGTTCGGGTTTAATTCATAGCTTCATACCTTATTTCTGCTTTTTTCTTGCTCTTCCCGTTTCTTTTTTCTTCACTGCTTTTTTTTTTCCTTGGCATTCTTTCTCATTTCAGAATAACAAAGCCGATGAATTGTCTAGCCGAATTCAGAAAATGTTTGGCAATTATGAAGAGATGAAAGAGCTTATCGTCAACCAGTTCTATCAGAATTTCATAGGGATTCCTACAAGTGTCATGCCGCTATTCCCCCCGCCTAAAGTAGATCGCCCTCTCTTTTCTGAAAAGACTGGCGCCCCATTCCAGAACCACAGCCACCACCGCAAACACGGGGGACCTCTTAGCTCGGACGTTCCGTCTGTAGGAAGCTCCTACCCAAAAATTCACTCGAGAGTGGAGCCCGCCTCACAAAGCGCCAGATTGCCTAGCTACCAGAAGCCAGGTCCCGCAAAGAGCTGCAAAACTGAAGGACTACAAAGTGGTCGATGTCAGCCGAAAAGTAAAAAGTCCACTGAAAAAGCTACTGTACCTGAGGCACGACTCTCCCTTATGGAACTTTCTCCCTTGTTGTCTACATTGTCTTCCCCTGTACCACCTCTGTCCCCTCTACATTCCGACCAGTGTGTCAGTTCCAGATCCCTCAGCAGTAAGATCGAAAAGCATGGGCAAAATAGCTCCCCATCCCAGGAGCTCCTGACCAGCACGCGTGATAATGAAAACGAGGACACTTCGACTGCTACTGTAGCTGTCAGTGCTCAGCTTTCCAGCCAGACATTTCCTTCATCCTTATCAAAAACCAGTGCAATACAACAGAAACCCACTGCCTACGTTAGACCAATGGATGGCCAAGACCAGGCTCCAGATGAGTCACCTGAACTCAAGCCACTGCCAGAGGAATACCAGGAACAGCCCTATGGGAAAATAACAAATTTAAAAACCAACATCAAGACCAACTTACCCAAATTGAAAATACCCGCGGAACCAATTGAGGTCGGTGTACTAGCTGTGTTCGGTTTGATTGTGCGTTGGCCTCAAAACTAAACACAATTATTTGTATAATTAACATCCAATCATAGGCTGTGTATGCGTTTTTAAGTAGGACGGTAATCAGAACTGAGCGTGCCCCATGGAAGCTTTCTTCATGGAGCTCTTAAGGTGAGAATCAGTTGCTACTTAGTGCTAGTGTGGCTCTATGCACACAATAGTTCACCTTACCACAGGATGCATAAACTTAGGAAAGACAGCAATGTACTGCTCGTTTTAAGTTTTAGTGAAGCATCTTCTTCCACCAGGAACTGAGAATGAGACAGTTTATCGGGGATTCTGGGACTTGTAGTCATAATCCTCAATAGGATAATATCTATATAATAGGTGTGTTTCTGTATCTGTTAAAGGATAAACGTTGACATATTGTAAATAAGGGCCGATGGCGGCCGAGGGCAAGGTCTATTATAATTTTGTTTCCCAGAATTTTAAAAATTGTCATCTTAGCAAACTTTCCTGTGCTCACTATACTGTTGTGTAAGATGGCCAGATGGCCACTTCTCACTGAAGTTTCCGTGTGTGTGTGTGTGTGTGTGTGTGTGTGTGTGTGTGTATGCACTGCTGTACTCATTTTTCTTTTTTTCTGTTGGGTGGCATCTCTAGTAAATAGTAGGATTCAATTGGCTGTCAAGTTCAGGCATTGTTGTTGTTGTATTGTCAATAATAAAAATCTGGAGTTCTATATAGTATTAGGGGAATTAAGCATCAAGCACTTACAAGCTTCCTCAATATTTTTCTTTTTAAAGCCGGATAGTTTTGATCTTGTTCACTTACTAGAACAAGTCTCTCCCCACCTTTCCCTCTTTCTTACTCAAACCACACCATAAAAGAGAGTTAAAATAATATATTAAAATCACTGCTGTGCTGTTAAGCATTAGTGATGAAGAATATTAAAGAAACAAAGCAGCTGATAAAATTAAAAATCAGTAGAATTATTTTTCAAAAAGTGTTTGCAGAATCAAGCATTTTGAATTAGTAATGGAAGGACTGTACGGCAAAGCTCAAATCTGTCTGCCAGAGTTGTCATTAACAAGGAAGAATATGTGCTCGGCCTAGGTTTGATATGGAGCTAACTGTAATTGACTTGTATACTATGGAGGTTTTGCTCGAAAACAGTGCACAAAATGCCATTCTGCCTCCCCTATGTGTTCCTTTGACATCACTTTTTTTTTTAATCAAATAATAACTAGCTCATTGAATTTTTCAAAGCTTGTATGTCACTTGCAGCTGTGAATTAACTGTTGACGGGTTTTCAGCTCTTGGCAGCACTCAAAAGTGAAGCTTTTCCAGCTGAACACAGGAATTGTCTTTCCTATTAATCTATTGTGGAGAATTGTGTTATGAATCGCTTTGTACTGCAGAAACACTAAATCTGTGTCGGTCTTCTGACTGCTTGAAAGGCTGACATTTCTCCAATTCTGGTATTGAAGTAGCCACACATTTGGACTTAAGCATGTTGTAATACAAAAGATAACTTCATTGGGAAACCTAATTTATTTTGCTCTTTATAATGGAGGAGTCATTATAAAATTATCTGTTTCTGTTATGTTGGAATGTTTTCTAAATAGTGAGAAAGTTGTGCAGTGAAACCTGGCAGCTTGTTGAGATCAATAAGACCATCCAGTTTAGAATTTTCAGACATACGCAAAGAATGGAGAATTTAGTACAAGAAAGTTACATTCTGTTTGTTGGCTGTAAATATAGTTCCCTTAACTTTAGATTGAGAGAAATTGTGTTTTCTGTTATTGGGATACAGACATTTGGGTGATATGTCTCCAGAATGAGTAGTTCTGTGCTTCCAAACAAATGTTTTGAATCAAAGGAAATTCAAATGTGCAAAGTTATGAAAATATCTATTATTAATCTTTTATTTCCTGATTTAATGATGTTGTATTCCTTTTTTTGTGAGCTATTACTATTTAATAGGTTGCGGGTGTTATTGCAGAAGTGCCTAGCAATGCTAAGGAGATTGCTTATGGGTTGTGATGTATGTTTATGGGAACAAGAATTTGAAATAACAATGAGTAATGATGCTTTTATTAAGCAACCATGGCTTATGTCTGATATACGCACCTGGCTCCTGACGCTTGCAGCAAACACAGATATGTGCAGTTCACTGGTTATCGACTCAAGTTAATACAGCCATGAAACTGCTGTTACAATTTCATTTCCTGTTTGTGGTAGGTGAACTTGAAAACCAGCAGCATGTGTATGTATCGCATCTGTAAAGATTGATTTATTGTTTGCTTTGAATCAAAACAGTTTTTATCAACAATCTAAATTCAGACTAGTTGGGATTTAGGAAAATGTCAATTCTTATTTCATGCATCATTTATATTTTTGGCTGTGCCCTTTCCAGAATGCTTAAAAAAAAAACTTTTGAGAGACCATCATTTGAAGAGTTGTCTTCTCATATATTATAACAAGAAGAAAAAAATCTAGTGGCCAAAATAACGTGTGTTTTTTTTTTAAAAAAAAAAAACTCCAAAGAGTTTTTCCTTCCCTAAATGCACATACTCAACTAATCATCCCTGTTTGGGGGAATCGGCCTCTCCACAACTTTAGACATCCATTTTTCCCCTTGAAAAAAACCCTGAAGCAAAAGACCATACAAAAATAAAAGAACTGGAGGATATGTGTGGGCAGGCTGAAAAAGGAATCTCCTCAAGTGATTCATAAGCTGCATTTTTTTTTTTTTGCATCCCTGCCCTGTTCTCTCAAATACACTAAATTAGGGGTTTGATAGTATATAAAAACAAATAAATGAATGTAGCAGCTGTGCAGCCCCAATTGTATGTGCATTGATTCCATTCAACCCACACTGAATGTGTATAATGTTTCATCTTAGAACACTCCTACAAATCTTAGAAAATTGTTTTTAAATAGATGAAGGCCCAGTATGAATTGTTCTGACTGTCTCTGTTCAGCTGCCAAGCTGCTTAGCTAATCCCTTTGCAGGAACAAGGTCTTCATCACAGTAACCCTATGGAGAAATATATTTTCTATCTTTTTTCCCCTATTCACTACAATGTATCTTGATAGTTGTGCAAACAAATGTGCACGCCAAATTTCAGTAAAACCCGACTAAAATGCAGCTCTCTTTCATTTTCCACAATCTCGCAAAAGGATCTACAATATCAGGGGTTTGTGTTTATTTTCATAGTCATAATGTACACTGAAGATGGTATTTAATTTCATTGTGCGAGGTGCAATGACAATAAAGTAAACTAAACTAGTGTTGAACAGTATAGTCAAGTGGAAGGATTCCATGCAGTTTCTGGATTGGCTATATACCGCACCTCTCTTTGGTAAAAAATAAAGGGTGTGTACTGATTTCAGAGATAATCCTTCTGCTAAACTATTGTTCTTAGAATCTGAAAAGGTGCATGGAACTGTCACCCAGATAAAGAGAAAGAGAGAAGAAGGGTACTAAAATTATTTTGTGGCTCTTTTATGTTGTTTTCTAGACTGCTGGTGATTACTTATTGTCTTGTTTGGATCAACAACCAACTTGGCTTTTAGTTTTAATAGGCCGAATTTGATGTAGAGAGAAATTATAATGCCCGAAGAGAAGCTGTTGGGCCATTCTATGTGTTAGTGCAATGTTTGCAAACATGAGGGGAAAAAAGGGAAGCAAGAACCAACAGAAAACATTTGAACAGTACTTGGGAGCAGAGACAGGCAAATGTTACAAACAAGGCAAGATGTAGTAAAGTAATATAATTAGTAAGAAGTACAGGTAAATAGTGATGTTGCGTTAATAAACAAAGAATTGTGCCCTTTGAATAGCAGCATCTATTTTTGTAAGTTTTAGTAAGTTGTTGGCTTTTCTGCTTTTTAGTCTGCCATGAATTTTTATTCCTTTCTATAACTTGTGTTGTTTTCTCCAGGAGGTTTATGGAAGGTCTCTGTGTGTGCATCTGCTTGAAATCATTATCGTCTTAGATAAGTTAATATATGTCATTTTCAATGTTAGCTAGGGAATGGCAGTGCCCAGTTTTTCTTAAAAGGGAAATTGATGCAATCTTGCTGGATCAAATGTGAAGTTGTAATACTGTCTGATGTCGTGATGCTACTCATCAGTATGGAAAGATATTGTAGTGAGCTAGTTAAAATATCTGACTTAAGATCTGAAAGGGCCACCTTTGTAGTTCAAAGTGGTTCAGTGCTTTCTGGTGCTTTAGATCAGAGGTCTCCAACTTTGGCAACTTTAAGACTTGTGGACTTGTGGAATTCTCCAGCTGCTGGCTGGAGAATTCTGGGAGTTGAAGTCCACAAGTCTTAAAGTTGCCAAGGTTGGAGACCTCTGCTTTAGATAATCTACTATATCTAGGCCTATGTTCTTTAACACTCTACAGGTCATGAAGAACTTATTGTGGTTGGCCACAAGCTCTTCTGGGTAGTATTTTGTTGCAGGTTCCTCATACATTTGCAAAGTAGTCAAATTCTTCCTTAACAGTTTTATAAATTAAATATCACCAATCGAGGGTTTTCTGACTGTTTCTTGATAATATTCACAACCATTTTATCTCCTCTATTACTTCATTGATTATTTTACTGCTGTATCATTAAACAGTTTGGCTAGGTTAGCACAGTTTGCAGTGATTTAATGCTGGTTCCGCTGGATATTTATCTACATGAATAAATGTTAAAAAAAATGATTCACGTGGAAAAATCGGGGTTGTCTGTGAAGACAGGGCCTACATTTTGAAAGTTTTCATGATGTTCTGCAATGTTTTTTTAACTATCAATTATTCTTGTGAAGAAAATGAACATTTCCTGACAAAAGTAGTTTTCAGTAGACAGCTTTTTTATACATATACATATATATTTTAATTAGTATATTATTTGGGGATTTCCCCCTTAGGTTTTAATATAACATGTTCTGGTCAGAGAACATGTTTCTGAAAATGTGTTATTCTATATTAGGTTTAGGTTATAGTAACTACTTGTTCTTTATTATAAAGGATGGTCCTTTGTTTTAGAAAGCTGTCCTTTAAATTTTTCAGAAACTCCCCTATGTCCTTTTATGTTGATCATTTAACTCCTATTGTACAAATGGTATGACTTAATGCACACTTTCATATTCCTGTGAAAAATATGCAAACTGAATTCTTTTTAAAATAAATGTACACATACTGTTTGATTTTAGTTTTTTTAGAATATGCATTTTTGTAATTTTCATTGGTTTTGCTCTTGTATTTTATCTTGTACCGCAAAGTTATAAACATAAATGAGTTTTTATGTTTATAACTTCTTATGTACTTATTTTTAAAGGTACTGTATGTCCTTAATTTTTTCCAAGAAAAGGTGACCACCCTAATTCACACTTGTATGCTTTGTCACTTCAGCATAATTTTTATTTATTCCTACTATAAAGCAATGGCTGGTTTTAACTTTAGCACATACTACAGTGATTAAAATCCAGCTCATGAATGAGAATGCACTTTAGCTATTTTCAAGCTTGCTATCACTTAGAAATGCAGTTTCAACCTATTGTTTATACACTTTGAGTGTTGAAACTGAAAGTGCTTTTAAAAAATATAATAGTTGTATGTTGTGAGCTGTCATGTTCTCCTTGTCGAATAGACAGGATGTAAAATCCTTAAATGCTCCCTTGGGCATGGATTTTAGTGATTGAGTAACCTCATCATATGTGTGTGTGTGTGTGTGTGTGTGTGTGTGTGTGTGTTTGTAACTGTGGTTGCATAAATTGGTTAGATTGTCCTCAGATGCCATTATATTGTTATATTATTATTGTTTGCTTCTATTTTCATTGGCTTTAATTCTATGATTCCCGCCCAGAGTCATGATGGGCAACTATACAAATCATACTAAATAAAGTATATATATATATATATAATGCAGGATTATAAATAAAGAGAACTAAAAGACAGTGCCAAGAAACATCTGGTTTTTCTGCCTCCTCAAGTGGCTTGCCAGCTATTCCTTGCTTTAAAAAAAGTTTTGAATTTATTTTCTTCCTTTTCATTGTAAAAACCAGCAAAAAGGGGAATGACCTAACATTACTTAAATAAGATTTTGTTGGAAGTGTTCTCTCACTTTCTCTTTTAATGAGCTTTGAATTTGAAGTAGAATCTTCAGAAATTCTATTTTAAATTGAAAAATAATGTGGAGTTAGATTAAATATGCAAAGTGCAAAAAAGTGATAAAAATGCTTTTTAATTGCCACTTAAATAGCTTTTTTTCCTTTGGATTTAGGTTTTGAGAAAGATATACATGTAGAAAAAAGTGCCTTACGAATGAGTGATTACAAAACCTTAATGTGGAAAGAGAAGCTGATAACTGAAAATAGTTCTTAAAGTCTCTTTCCCTGCATGTCAAAAATATTAATTTAGTGTTCGATTTTAAGAAACTGCTTGATGAAAACTGGCACTTATTTTTTTTAAAAAAAATCTTACAGATTTAATAACATGAATGAAAGTGGTATTTTATATGGCATGAAATAGCATAAGGGAAAATAGGTTTTGTGCTTGTGTGCATGTATGTACAAAGCAGTGACTCGGTGGCTCAATATTTATCTGGAATATTCCAGCGAGTAAAAAAACAATGGCCTTCAAATAAATAAATCACAGTCAAATTCTGGCAGCTCACAATATTGAAACTGTGTGTGTGTGGGGGGGGGAGCAACTTTCTTGTATGTGCTTTGCTGCATTCCCACTGGACTTTGGGCTGGCTTTTTCCTTCCTTCCTTCCTTCCTTGCCCTTCCTCTGGGTGCAGCTGCTGCATTTCCCCTCCCTGTGTAAATCTGGAAATAAAATATTAACCAAAGCAGCCATTAGAACAACACAACCGAAGCAGCTTTGCTGATGCTCTGTTTCCCTCTCTGATTTATTTTTATTTATTTTTATTTTGAGCTACCCCCCTCCCCCTCTCCTCAAGGTGCTCAGCACGGGTCAGCACGGGACAGATGTTGTCGGTTCCAAACGTGCAAGGCACGGAGGAGAGCGTGTGTGTGTGTGTGTGTCGGGGGGGGGGGGCAACACAGGATGGCGAATATTGCTTAGCAACCGGGCACTTGAGGGAGCGTTTTTTTTTTTTAGGAGAAATGCCAAGGGAGTTATGCCTGGGAGCGATTGCTGGCTTTGCATGGCTCAGTGTGAGGGGAGAGAAGTGAAAGTTCTTTCCTGTCAGCTCTGCAAAAGACGCTCATGTTATTGATGCAGATTACAGCTGGCAGGGGAATGTATGGAAACAGGAAACCTCTGTTGCCATGTAGGAAGGCAGTAAGACATGTTCACGGAGGTAAGTTCTCCCGCCCGCCCCCCGCCCATTCCCCCCCCTCCACAAATAGAAACTGGCCGTGGATGCTCAGGTATCTCCTCCGTAGGAGAGACTGGGGGAAGGGGTGAGCAGCAAGGCAGCTGACTGGAGGGGTGGACCGAGGTCATGTTTTGGCACGTGTTACTGGTAGCCCAAAGGAGGGACGTCTTCCACAGCTGATGCCCTGCTTGCAGCCCAGAGGTAGAAACTAGCGAATTTGGCTTGTAAACAAGGACGGCTTGGGTGGGTGAGGCACTCAGGCAGAGTCACGCTCCTCCTCCCTTCGCTTCCTTTGCAAAGGGTTTGACCGGATAATTGACAAGCTGCATCAGGAGTTGTTGGATTCCTTTCCTCAGAAGTTCCTGGGAAAATGTGCAACTCAGCAGTAGCTGGAGGTAGCGTTATCAAAGCCAAGCAGTCAAGCTTACCTGTAGGACCGATTGCATGTCATGGACACCTTAAAACTTTTGCTCCCGGGGAAGACAAGGTTTTCTCTTTCCATCCCCGAATAGAGGAATTTCAGGCAGACAAAACTTTCTTTACTTTGGCCAGGTGTGTGCAAATGGGGTGTGTGTGTGTGTGTGTGTGTGTGTGTGTGTGTTGGGGGAAATTGCAAAGCTGTCATGCCATGTAATCTGGTTGAAATAGATGCTTGAAATAGTTTTGGTGTCTCTTTTCCTTAAAGTGCCCTCTGTCTATGTGGCAAGATAGAAATCTAGAGTTTTAAGGTACATGTTACTATTGTTCTTTTAGGTAAGGACTTACCAGTTGGAGAACAAGAAGGCTGTGTGTGTGTGTGAAAGAAAAATGAATAGATTACAGCTGGTGACATTTTCAAGGAAAACCATAACCAAATATTATGGTCTGGTTGTAGTGGAAGACCTTTAAAGGCCCCAAGGCCTGCATGTCTTGAAGCTTCTCCATATCTCATCATTTTGAAAGACTCATTATACTATGGGGAGAAGTTTCAGTCAGTTGAAAGTCTCTTGTGTATATGTACTTCCTTCCTACTCGGAACACACACAGTTTTTATCATGTTCACCTATCTAGCTTAAACACACACACACACACACACACACACACACACACACACACACGGCATGTACTTAGCACTTTGACATAATGCCATTTCTGCCCAAAGGGGGAGTGGCTTTGTATTAGAAAATTTGCATATTGGCAAATTATTCTTGCTACTATATTTACCACATTGGGGCAAATTAACTTCAACTGACTTGATAAGGGCTAAAACATTGCTGCCTGTATGGGATTTGCAGAAAGTGCAGATCTGAGTGCATTCTCCTTTATGTTATGTCTGTCTTTTATTGTGAAATCAAGATGCCATCTCAATGGAATTTCCAGGTGGTGTCCCATCCATATTCTCATGACATCTAGAATCATGTAGTTTATTCCATCTCATGCTTTCATATCATCTCAGAGCTAATGTTGTAAAACATAATTGGCCTGCTCATTTTTTAGTCCAACCCATTAAATAAAGTAAAATGGGCAACCCATGGAAACTGCTGCCTTTAAGTTGATTTTCAGCACGTTTGGTTGTCTTCAAGTGTTCTCAAGAACTTAACTGTGGTTATTTTCCTCAGAATTTGTTAATAGCCAATATCTTTGGTAGTGTAGTAAGTTTTAGGGAGACATAACAGAAAATTGACAATGTCAGAACACTGAACAGTAGCTTTAACTAAGATTCCCTTAATTAATAGAGGATAAGATCTAGTAGCAAATAGTCCTGAAGCTATCTATATATTACCTTAAATATTGGCAGATACCACAGCAGTTGATAGGCAGGGAAGTCAAAATAATCATCTCAGAGGAAAGGATACAGTCTCAGAAAAATTGTACATATCCCTGCAGCTATCGGGAGTCAGTTTGAGTCAGAGGAAATTTTAATCTTTTTATTGCAGGCAATGTGCATTTCAATAACAGCTCTTGCAACAACAGCAGTAAATGACTCCTTATACCTTGCTTGGGTTCTTCCGTTGGCTTCTGTTTGGCCATACCGGAAACAACTACAGTTTAAAATAGATGTTAGGAAATCCTATTAAGATTCCTCAGTGAAGAGATTAGTGCACTGGACCATTTTATCTGATAAGGAACTTGCATGTGTCCAACTGTATTTACCTTTTCAAGTAGAGGAGGGAGCCATGTCTATTGTGTAGTTTTTCAAAGAAGTTGTTAAGACCCAACTTTCCTAGGCAGTGTCTTGTTCGCCCTATCACAGTCTTTTCCAATCTGTCCCCTACCCAACAATGTTTGGAGTTCAGTTTGCAGGATTGTCAACCAAAATGGCCTAATGGAGACTTGAACTCCTCACATCTGGAAGTGCCAAGCTGCAGAAGAATGCTCTGTTGTACGCTATATTCAAAAGTCTGATTTGCAGTTGTTCGTGGATGAGAAACGGAAGTTTCTGTGAAGGCATATTTGAACTGGGTCAACTGTGTATTGAAAGATCCTTGGTACAAGAGGTCCTTATGAATAACATCAGTGATGACGTTACCTAGTTTGGTTAACAAAACATCTGCAAGAAAATAACCAAGCTCACAGAGCACCAAGGACCCCCTCATTGCAATCCTGAGCTACAATATTCTCCTTTGCTGAGAGCCTTGATAATTTGACTGGTCCTTTCTTGATCAGGGCCTTTTTCTGATTGGTTTACTTGATGTTGACATCATTGCTTCATGGCTTTTAAGAGCTGCAGTGGCACAGTGGTTTGAATGCAGTACTGCAGACTACTTCTGCTGACTGCTGGCTGCCTGCAATTTGGCAGTTCAAATCTCACCAGGCTCAAGGTTGACTCAGCTTCCATCCTTCCGAGATGGGTAAAATGAGGACCCAGATTGTGGGGACAATAGGCTGGCTCTGTAAACCACTTAGAGAGGTCGGTAAAGCACTGTGAAGCAGTATATAAATCTAAGGGCTATTGCTATTGGACAGGTGCAAGCATCTGGAACAGAGGTGGTATTCGGCAGGTTCTGACCAGTTCTGGAGAACCGGTAGTGGAAATTTTGAGTAGTTCAAAGAACCACCTCTGACTGGAGATTTTACAGTATTCTTCCCCTGCCACGCCCACAGAACCAGTAGTAAAAAAAATTGAATCCCACCACTGATCTAGAAGATAATGTAGTATTTTAATTCTCCACGATGTCCCAGAATGAAAAGTTAGGGCAAGCATCCATAGTGTCTTTATTTATACCCACTTTATTCTTCTGGCTAAATAATATGGTGGGAATATTCTATCTTCATATAGCAGATTTATGCCTTAGGGTTTCATGATTCTTTTTAATTTGCTTTCATTTTTCCCATTTATAGGATTGACTTTTACAAGCTAAATAAAAGGCTACTTTATCAATTATTTATTTACTTCCTATCTCTAAGGTCTTCTTTTCTTTTACTGGACTTTTTTTCTTTTACTGGTAGTTAAATAACATTTATGCAGAGTTGCTTGTTTAGTATTTTATTAAACCAATGGGATCAAGCCTGAAACTTAGGACAACCAGCATACAAATGAGGATTAGAAAAGAGACTACTTTTACTTTATTCTGAATAAATCTTAATGTTCCCACTTTAAAGGGTAAATTATTTAGAACATGCTTTTCAGGTAAACAGAATAAGTGTAAAATATGGAGTCAGAATGAATTAAAGAAAGCACCAAACTAGTACAGTGCTATTTCAGAAATAAAAATCTTCTGTACGAAAACAATACACGGGACCTTCTTTTTCCAGTGTACTAGCGTAGCATTGGGGAAAAAAACAATTTTCCTTGTAGCTGTGAACATAAGCATTAATAACAAACAAGGTTTTTGAATAATAGATTTGGCATTCTATCATGCAATCCCTGTCTGTGTGTGCTTCTGAACAAACAATGAATCAAGCAAATACACCAGTTCTGATGTCTGAAGAATGTGATTCTTGGATTTCCTCAAATGAGTCAAATCTAGAAGGGGTGGCTACAGACCTTTTTAAAGTTGTGTCAGGCATTAGTAAGGTTGATACTGGCTCCAGTAAAGTCCAAGTAGGCTGTTTTCAAAAGTCATGTGGATTAGCTCATACTGAAACACGTAAGGGAAGCAAGCCACAAGTGATATTTGTTCCATCACATGCTTTCCAAAGAGTGCAATACAGGGAGTCCTCAGCTTACGACCACAATTGAGCCCAACATTTATGTTGTTAAGTGAATATCCCCATTTTATGACTTTTCTTGCCACATTTGTTAAATGAATCATTGCAGTGGCAACATGGTTGTTAAGTGAATCTGGGATCTCCATTGACTTTGCTTGTCAGAAGGTCGCAGAATGACTCTTGAACACTGCAACTGTCATAAGTATGAGTCAATTGTCAAGCATCTGAATGTAAATCACGTGACCCTTGGGATGTTGCAATGGTCATCAGTATGAAAAATGGCCATAGGTCATTATTTTCAGTGCCGTTGTAACTTTGAACAGTCACTAAATGAATTGTTGTAAATCGAGGACTTACCTGTATATCATTCTCAGTCTTCTTTATCTTTAGTAGTACATGAGGATTTAATTTTGGACTCTAATTGAGGCAATGTTTCTCAACCATGGCAATTTTAAAATGTGCAGACTTCCACTCCCAGAATCCTGGGAGTGGAAGTCCACACATCTTTTTGCTAAGCAATTTTTGTCCACACATCTTTTGCTAAGATTGCTTTTGCTAAGCAATCTTAGCAATTTTTTGCTAAAATTGCCAAAATTGAAAAACACTGCTTTAAAGAGCGGAGGAGCAGTGAAGACCAATTGGTTTTCCTCTGGAACATCATTTTCATTAAGAAGAACGCCAGATGTATTTTTATTGTTGCTTTTCTCTTCCCCCCCCCCCTCTTACCGCTTAGCATTCTGCCTGTGGGTTTTGTAAAAGTACTTGGTGGCTTTTAATGGGTAGACCTCTCTTTCTTTGATCACAATCAATCAGGATTGTGAAAGCAAATCTGGTTATCAAATGTGAAATAATCTGTCCCCGTTTTGTTGTGGCTGATATGTGTATCATCACCATCCTAATATCATCATCATTAGAAATTTGGAACTTACTGTGAATTCCTTCAGGGTCCCTCAACAGTGACACTGCTACCAAATACTTGGAAACCCTTATTGTCTGTGACTATAGTCCTGTGCTAATACCAAAAGATTTTATAAGAGGAGGCAGCGGCAAATGTGTCCCATACAGATAGTCCCTGACTTACAACAGTTCATTTAGTGACCGTTCAAAGTTACAATGGCACTGAAAAATGACTGTTTTTCACACTTATGACTTGCAGCATCCCCATGGTCACGTGATCAAAATTTGGATGCTTGGCAACCGGCTCATATTTAAAATGGTTGTCGTGTTCATGCAAAGTCAATGGGGAACTCAGATTCACTTAACAACCATGATATTAACGTAACAACTGCTGTGATTCACTTAACAAGTATGGCCAAAAAAAAAAATCATAAAATGAGGCAAAATTCACTTAATAAATGTTTCACTTAGCAACAGAAATGTTGGGGTCAATTTTGGTTGTAAGTTTGGATTTCCTTTGATATCGTTGATTTTTTTTTAATCCTTAAATAATGATTTGTATGTACTTACTGGATATTGGGAGAATGCTCTGAACTCAGTAGCTCTCCTTGACCAAACTACAGAAGCCAATAAATTTTATGTCTCCATATAAAAGTGCTAAAATTAAGGTTATTCTATAGCATTTCCAGATTAATTAGCAAATCCGATAACTGGAAAATACCATTTGGTTGGCATAGCATCTGAGCCAAAACTAGAGCTGATCCTTGCTCTTTTGAAGGGGAGGATTTCTTAACCTCCTGCAGCTATTTTGCTATGCTATTATTTATATAGTGATACCTCTAAGGCTTCATCCAGTGTGTTGTTCTTATGCATGCAAAAGAGGGAAAATTTAATAACCATTTATTTACCTGACTAGTGTTCCTGTTTATTTAAAAATACAGAAATTGAAGATGTTCTAAATAAGAAATAAAAACCAACTTGAGAGAGTGGGAGAGAGAGAGAGAGAGAGGGCAAGAGAGAACTTGAAAGTCCAAACTATAATTCCTAGCTTAAATGTATTTTACTTTCAGTTTAAGGCACGCCTTGTGATTTTGTAAAAAGCTAGTCTTGGCTGGTTTAAAGGTTTCATAACTCACCTTGCGTGTTCCAAATCCCAGCGCACAATCATCCCATTTAGCAGACTTGGAAAGGAGAGACAGTTGGAAATGCTGCTTTGATTACCAAAATGAATGCAATTTCACTGTTTAACATCTAAAAGTTTCTTCCCCCCCCCCACACCTACAAAACATGAAGTATTCCATCAGGCATGGAACATTCTTAATATTGTCAAAAGTTATTTGCTGTTAATATAGAAAGAAGGGATATGGATAGTGCATGTCAATTTATGATTGGAATGGTTCCATGTTACAATAGCAAAAATCTCAGATATCTTTAGCAGAGTCTTATTTTGTTTATACAATTTCCACAGTCTAAATACCTACATGTTTTTTTTTCTTTTCTTAAGCTGCTAGATCTTCTTGCTTAGTTGCAGCTGGGTGTTTATCTCTGCAACAAACACAGCTTAATTATCCTTTATCCTTTGGGTTGGAAAACTTTTATAGTAAGTCCTTGACTTGCAACACAATTGAGTCCAAAGTTTCTGTTGCTAAGTGAGAGATTTGTTAAGCGTGATTTGCCCCACTTTATAACTTTTCTTGCCGCAGTTGTTAAGTGGATCACTGGCGTTGTTAAGTCAGTAACATGGTTGTTAATTATACCTGGCTTTCCTAATTGACTTTGCTTGTCAGAAGGTCGCAAAAAGGGAGCCAGAGACACTGCAACCATCATAAATGTGAGTCAGTTGCTATAAACATCTGAATTTGGATCGCATGACCATGGGGATACCCGCAGTGGTCGTAAGTGTGAAAAACGCTCATAACTCCCATTTTCAATTCTGTTGTAACTTTGAGTAGTCATTTAATGAACTGATGTAAATCAAGGACCACCTTTGGTTCTTCCAGCATTACTCCTCAATTTTCTGAAAACAGTAGTTGTTTTCAATTAAGTTCCAGTGCATCTTTATATGTGAGCATCAGTGGTGGGATTCGAATGTTTTTACTACTGGTTCTGTGGGCGTTGCTTGGTGGGCGTGGCGTGGCGGGCATGGCAGGGGAAGGATATACTGCAAAATCTCCATTTCCTCCCCACTCCAGGGGAAAGATACTGCAAAATCTCATTCCCTCCCTGCCCTACCAACCTGCTTTCCAGCTCCGTTCTCCTGTGCAGGGCAACAAAAGAAGACCCAGCCAATCAGGTGGAACTCGGGAGGCAGAGAATAGATGGGGGCGGGGCCAGTCAGAGGTGGTATTTGCCGGTTCTCTGAACGACTCAAAATTTCTGCTACCGGTTCTCCAGAACTGGTCAGAACCTGCTGAATACCACCTCTGGTGTGCATCTTCAAATGCTTTGATGAATTATGTGCAGAAAGAAACCAAAGAAATGAAAAAGCCTAAATCTTTCATTTCCCAGTTACAAGCAATTGGTTGGTTTCATTTTTGCAAGCTGTTTCCCCTAATACATGCTACTGCACGGAATACTATACACATATTTGTTAGTCGTGTATGTGCTTTGTTTTATTTTTAATTGGAAAACAGCATTGCAGAAATCATGGAGAATGTTTACCTTGGATGTCTATTTGTTCATTTGTTTTTGTCTTCTTTCCACCTCTTAAGAGAAAAAGGGTGTTTGAAAAAAAAAGATAATGTCTGTTAAAAACTGCCACCATAAATACCATCTTTAATCAAGACTACTGTGGATGAATCACTGTTTCCAGGTTTTTGTGGTGTCAACAGAGCTGGAGACGTGCATGCAAGATTTCTGTTTTGAGTCTTTGGTCAATCTAATTATTCTTGAGTCTGCTTAATCTCACCTCCCATCTGTTGTTAATAATCAACTAGAGAAGCTGCTGCGTTGGTCCCAATAATTTTGAAGCTTGTTTCTCTTGCAAGTTGATTTTAATAGTGTAAGTGCCGACTATTATTTCTTAGGGTTACTCAACCTAGGCTACTTAGCTTTTAGCTCTTTCGGGCTCTCTTTATAGTTTTCTTTGTTAAACATGGAGCTTAGGTCATTAGGCCCTGGGTGTCAAACTCAATCCCATCACGTGGCATATAGTGACATATCGTGACATTTTTTGCCTTTGCGGAGCTGGTGTGGGAGATGCATCCGGCCCATGGGCCACCAGTTTGACACTCCTGCACTAGGCCTTGGCACCAACTTTTTTTGTGTTATACTAACATTATTATGATTACATTCTCCTGAAACCTAAGACTAAGGGAGGGTATTTAGTAGTCTCCATGCGTCTATTAAAATGCCCTTCAGTTGCACTCAGCATGTCCAATAGCATGAGATTATGAGAGTTGCAATCCAGCATCTGAAGAACTTTCAATGTAAAGCAGTGGATTTATACATACTTTTGGGGCTTTTTGCGACATAGCCCTGAATTCCTTTGGCATATGGAACCTCATAGGTAGCTACTGGTTGTTTCACCAGGAGGAGATCCCCGGTTTGTGATTCTTAGCAATGGCTGCTCCATGAATGAGTTTGATTGACTTGGCTTCCATGCACTTCCTCCACAGTGACCATCTGGTTGCTATGAGGACTACTGAATTGTGTCCCCACGTTTTCTCACATGCTTTCTCATTTGTACCATTTTTCTCCACTCCCTCCTTTTGATTGACTATACCTTTCTTCTTCCTCCAAAACCATTCCTCATAAGATATGTACCCAACAATAGGTATTCTAACTATAATTTTCTTCTGTTCACCAATCCTTTTAATGAGGATTGCTGGGCTGGGTAAAAATGCTTTTGAGACCATTTCAGATTGATTGTGAATGATTGGGAGTAGCTGCTTTATAGATTAGAGGCCAGTTAACATCCCCTTAATGTTTTTATATTTAGTTTTATATTTAGTGAAAGGCATGGTTTTTTGGATCCTTGCCAAGGTTAAATATTTTATGTATGTTGTCTATATTGAATACAGATGATGTTTCGATTCTGAGACAGCAGTGGGATGTTTTGCAGATAGGAAGCAACACCTGAAACACAGAGAAGTCTGGAATCATCAGTCGTTAAGGGCAATTATCTCCAGATATTAAAGAGAACCACTGGAGACCGTGGATGTTGAAAACATTTGCACAATGTAATGGCAGCAATTGCAGGAGCACCTCAAATTCTAGATGATAGTTGTCCTAAAATCACTTCTGCTGGTACAGAAATAATAGATGTGTTGCTTATCTTCAAGAATTGAATTATAAAAATCCATCTTCAGTAGAATGA